TGGGCACAAGGGGTGAAGGGAGACATATATATGGTGATGGACAAACAAAAATGTACAACCCAAAATTTCACAATGTTATAAACTATTAAAAGATCAATAAAAAAATCATTTTACCATATATGCAAGGGTCTACTTCTGAGCTTCCTACACTACTCCGTTGGTCTATATGTCTATCTTTGTGCCAGTACCACACTGTGTTGATGACTGTAGCTTTGTAGTAAGCTTGAAATTAAGAAGTGTGAGACCTCCAAGTTTGTTCTTCATTTTCAAGATTGTTTTGGCTATTTGGGGTCCCTGGAGATTCCATATGAAGTTTTGGACTGATTTTTCTATATCTGGAAAAAAACACTTTTGAGTTATTATGGGGATTACACTGAATCTGTAGATCACTTTGGGTAGTGATGATCTCTTAACAATATTTAGTCTTCTAATTCATAAACATGGGATGTCTTTCCTTTTATTTGTGTCTTAACTTCTTTCAGCAACATTTTGTAGTTTTTAGTCTACAAGTCTCTCCTCTCCTTAGTTTATTCCTAAGTATTTTATTCTTTTTGATGCCATGGTAAATAGAATTGTTTTTTTTATTTCCTTTTCAGATTATTCATTTTTAGTGTATTAAAAAGTAAATAACTTTTCTGTGTTGACTGTGTATCATGCAACTTTACTGAGTTTGTTTACTAGTCCTAACAGGTTTTCTTTGTGGAAACTTGAAGGTTTTTACATATAAGATTATGTGAACGGCAAACAGAGATAATTCCACTTTTTCCTTTCCAATTTAGATGTCTTTTTTTCTTTTTCTTGCCAAATTGCTCTGGCTAGGACTTCCAGTACTATGTTGAATAGAAGTGACATAAGCAGGCATCCTCATCTTGTTCCTGATTTTTGAGGAAAATATTTCATTGTTTCAATTAATTTATTTGCTTGAGGGTTCTGTTAATTCTTCAATTAATCAATGCCATTTGCTTGAGGGTTCCGTTAATTCCTCTTTAAATGTTTGGTAAAATTCACCAGTGAAACCATCTGGTTCTGGGCTTTTCTTTGTTGGCAAGGTTTTCACTACTGACGCAATCTCCTTGCTAGTTATAGGTCTGTTCAGGTGTTCTATTTCTTCGTGATTCAGTCTTCATAGGTTGTATATTTCTAGGAGTTTTTTCATTTTATATAGGTTATCTGTTGGCAGACATCTGGTATGCTCTTCTAACCCTTTTTATTTCTGTAAAACCCATTGTAATGTCCCCTCTTTTCTGCTTTTAGTTATTTGTCACTAAATAACTTTTCTTAGGCAATCTAGGTAAAGGTTTGTCTATTTTGTTGATCTTTCAAAGAACTAACTATTGGTTTTATTAATTTTCTCTATTGTTTTTCTATTTTCTATTTTGTTCATCTCTGCTCTAACCTTTAATATTTAGTTCTATTTGCTAGCTTTGGATTTAGTTTGTTCTTTTTCTAGTTCCTTAAGTATAAATTTATGTTGTTGAGGTCTTTCTTTTTTAATGTAAGCATTTACAGCTATACATTTCTTTCTTGGCACTGCTTTAAATGTGTCCTATAACTTTTGACATATTGTGTTTTAATTTTCTTTTGTCTGGAGATATTTTCTAATTTCCTTTGGGATTTTTTCTTTGAATCATTTGGTTTTTGAAGAGTGTTGTTTAATTTCAAATTTTTGTGGATTTTCTGTTTTCTTTCAACTATTGATTTCTAGTTTCATTTCACTGTGATCAGAAAAGGCACTTTGAATGATTTCTATTTTTTAATATTTGTTAAGACTTATTTTGTGGTTAACTCATGGTGTAGCCTAGAAAATGTTCCATGTGCACCTGAGAAAAATGTATATTCTACTCTTGTTGGGTGGAGTGTTCTGTTATGGATGTTAGATCAATTGTTCTACAGTGTGGTTCAAGTCCTCTATTTACTTACTGATCATCTGCCTGGTTGTTATATCCATTATTGAAAGTAGGATATTGTGATCTCCTAATATTATTTTACTGCTCTGTATTCCTCCCTTCAATTCTGTCAATGTTTGTTTCATACATTTCAGAGCTCTAATGTTTGGTGTGTATATATTTATAATTTTTATATCCTCTTGATGAGTTGACTCATTATTACATAATGTCTTTCTTTTTTCTTTAGTAACAGTTTTAAACTTAAATTCTATTTTGTCTGACATTTGTATAGCCAACCTGTTCTCTTTTTGCTACTATTTGTAAGGAATAGCTCTTTAAATTTTTTCGCTTTCAACCTATGCATGTCCTTAGATCTAAAGTGAGTCTCTTGGGGCCGGCCCAGTGGCTTAGCGGTTAAGTGCATGCGCTCCGCTGCTGGCGGCCCGGGTTCGGATCCCGGGTGCGCGCCGACGCACCGCTTCTCCAGCCATGCTGGGGCCGAGTCCCACATACAGCAACTAGAAGGATGTGCAGCTATGACATACAGCTATCTACTGGGGCTTTGGGGGGAAAATAAATAAATAAAATCTTTTAAATAAATAAATAAATAAATAAATAAATAAATAAATAAGTGAGTCTTTTGTAAACAGCAATATAGTTACACCTGTGTTTTGTATCCATTCTGCCAAAGTATGACTTTTGATGGGAGAGTTTATTCCATTTGCATTTAAAGTAATTACTGACAAAAAAGGATTAGTATTACCATTTGTAATTTGTTTTCTATATATCTTATAGATTTCTTGTCCCTTATTTCCTCACTTTCTGCTTTTGTTTTTGTTTAGTTGATTTTTCATTATAAAATGTTTTGATTCCCTTCTCATTTACTTTTGTGTATAATCTATGGATATTTTCTTTGTAGTTACCATAAGGATCACATATAACATCCTGAAGTTATAACGATCTACTTTAAATTGACAACAACTTAACATCAATTGCATACAAAATACTACTCTTATACAGCTCTGCCCCTCCTACTTTATGTTATTGATGTCATAAATTATATCTTTACATATTGTGTACCCATTAACATAGATTTATGGTTATTTTTATGATTTTGTCTTTTAAAATCTATAAAAGAATAAAAAGTGGAATTATGAACCAAAATTACAATAATATTAGTGTTTATATTTGTCCATGTATTTACCTTGACTGAAGAACTTCGTATTTTCTCATGGCTTTCAGTTGGTGTCCTTTTGTTGCAACTTGAAGGACTCTCTTTAGCATTTCTTATAGAGAAGGTCTAGTGATAATGACTCTCTCAGCTTTTGTTTATCTGGCAATGTCTTAATTTCTCCCTCATTTTTGAAGGACAATTTGCGTGATATAAAATTCTCAGTTAATAGGTTTTTTTTCTCTCAGCTCTTTAAATATGTCATCCCACTGCCTTCTGATCTGCAGGGTTACTGCTGAGTAAACCACTGATAATTTTGTTGAGTATCCGTTGTATGTGGCCAGTTGATTTTCTCTTGCTGCTTTCAAGATTCTCTCTTTGTCTTTGGCTTTCACCAATTTGATTATAATGTGTCTCCCTGAGGGTTTTTTTGGGTTTAACCTACTTGGAGTTTTTTGAGCTTCCTGTATTTGCATATCCATGTCTTTCCTCAATTTTGGAAATTCTTCTGCCATTATTTCTTCAAATAAGCTTTCTGCCCCCTTTCTTTCCCTCTTTTCCTTCTGGGATTTCCATAATGCATATATCGTCCCATATAGTTCCCATAACTTCCTTAAAGTCTGTTCACTTTTCTTCATTTTTTGTTTTTTCTCCTCTGACTTTATCATTTCAAATGACCTATATTCAAGTTCATTATTTCTTTCTTCTTCCTAAGTCTGCTGTTGAACTACTGTAATGAATTTTTCAATTTTATTATTGTAATTTTTAGCTCCAGAATGACTGTTTGTTTTTTTTTTTATATTTTCTATCTCTTTGTTCATATTCTCATTTTGTTCATATATCATTTTTCTGATTTCCTTTAGTTTTCTACCTATGTTGTCCTTTAGGCAATTAAGTATATTTAAGATAGTTGTTTTAAAATTTCTCCCAAGTAATTCAAAAGCCTGTGTTTCTTTATGTTCTGTTCTGAATATTTATTTTACCCTTTTAATGGGCCATGTTTCTCTGTTTCTTTGTATGTCTTGTGCTCTTATGTTGAAAATTGAATGTTTGAAAAACAGTCACCTCTCCCAGTCTTTATGGACTGGCACAGTATGGAGGAAGACCTTTACTAATCAGCCTATCTTGAGGGCTTAATGTCTTCTCATGCTTTTTCTGGGCATGTCCCTTCCTTGGGCATATGTTTGTGCTTTTTGCCCCAAATTTTCCCTTATACATGGATGCTTTTAAATGTGTTAATTTCCCTAAGAGCTTCACCCCCACTTATTCTCAGATCCTTAGATGTTCTATTGTATTCCTCTGTAATCTCTTGCTCCCAATCACCCAGGTCTGCATCCCTCTGCAGCTTTCATATGCTGTGGCACAGGCCTCTGCTTTTAGCAGCCTTCAATATGGTAACCAAACTGTGCCACCATTCCCAATAGCACTCTGAGTCAGGTGGGACAGAAAACAGCCCCTCAGGCAGCCCCCAGATAAACCAGAACATTGCAAATAAGTTCTACTTTTTTCTCTCCATCTGAGGGAGTAACTATGAATTGGGTGGCTTCCTTCAGATTGTGCCACACTGCGCTGGGGAGGGAGTGGGACAAGAGTGAGCAAAAACACCACAAAATTTACTACTGTTTTGAATGTGACTTTTTTCTTGGTTGGGAATTTGTTTGGTTGTTGCAGATCCTTAACTGGTTTTTAGAATTCCCACAAGACTGCTTTGTGTGTGTGTGTGTGTGTGAGGAAGATCAGCCCTGAGCTAACATCCATGCTAATCCTCTACTTTTTGCTGAGGAAGACCAGCTCTGAGCTAACATATATTGCCAATCCTCCTCCTTTTTTTCCCCAAAGCCCCAGTAGATAGTTATATGTCATAGTTGCACATAGTTGCTGTATGTAGGACGCGGCCTCAGCATGGCCAGAGAAGCGGTGCATCAGTGCGCGCCCGGGATCCAAACCCAGGCCGCCAGTAGCTGAGCATGTGCACTTAACCGCTAAGCCACTGGACCGGCCCATCCACAAGACTGTTTTGGTCAGTATGTTGTTGTTTACTTGTTGTTTCTGTTGGGGAAATGAGAGCTTGGAGCTTCCTAGTGTACCATCTTGTCAATATAACGCCAGTGTCCTTTTTTTCTATGTGTATATGCACATGCAAATTCAGACCATAATTAGCCACATTGCAATGATGCCTACTTCTTAGTGCTAGAAAGCTACAGGTTGGTCCATCTGGTTTTCCAAAGTTCTATAATAATATTTAAGAGAGTCAGTGTTACTTACCATATGACCTGCTTAGAATTACAATAAAAATTAAAAATAAAACCCAAACAAGGTAGTAAGAACCAGGCAGAAAAATTAACACCTTCATTATGTAAGTTTCTCATTTGTTTTTCTATTGATTTCCTTTAGACTGCATTTTTCTGGTTTCTCTCCAATCCTTCTTACCACTAATGGTCTTTCTACTGTGTTCTCCTATTCCTCTTATCATACAAGGGAGCACTCTCTAAGGTTTGGTATCATGTCCTTCTACACATATTATTTGCTAGGGTAGACTGATCGTCTGTCACCACTTCAACTAGCATTCCTAATAACACCTTTATCTCCAGCTGTTGCCTTTCATGTATGCACCTATATGAAATCTCAAATGGCCTCAGGAAACTGACATTTTGATGTCTGTGTAACACCTCATTCTCATGGGCCTATATATAAATTTACCACCCCTCCCAATCTCCATCATCAAAAAAGTTTATCCCCTCAATTTCTTTTTTTTCATTTTTACCACTCTTCTTCTAATCAGTTGTATCTCTCCCTGCTTTTATTCATTATATCCAGTTAGTAACTACGGCCTTTTAACTATAGTTTTGAATTATTCCAGGGCAATAGCTCTCTAAGTAATCTCCTGTCTGCAAAATTAAAGATAAACACTTCAGCCTGTCATTCCCATTTCTCCACAGTTTGGCCCCAAACTACATTTCCCTCTAAGCAGCCTTCCCCAGAGACCTTCTCTTATACTTCCTTTATATGTGAATGACACTAGTGCATATGCATTTGAATACAGACTGGTATATTTTATTTTTCCAAGTATCTGTCAAATACTTTATAGAAATTTTTTTTAAAGTAAAGAAATAAGAATGTCCAGTTGGGGTCATAATGAAGAATTTCAGAAATGGATAATAGGAACCATCCTATTATTGTTCATGAACCAGTTCCATACCTTTCTCCACTCAAGGGGTAGCTCCATGCAATTCCACACCCTTAATAGAACTCTATGAATCAGAAATTAATACCTGCATGAGTTTTGAATCCTAAAGTATCATGACTGAAAAGGATCTTAGAAACCATCAAGTTCTAATTCTTAATTCTGCTTCTCAAACTTTCAAAATTTTTTTGAGATTCAAACACAAGAAAATATATATTCTATTCAGCCTGTTGCAACAGGGTGAGCACCTTCAGGAATTCTCTCTCCAAACACGGAAAATTTAGAGAGATTTTATAGGAAACAGAAAATTGTCAGAGTACCAGCAGCATGTTTGGTTTGGTGGGCTTTGATAAGGTAGTTGCTGCAATCTTTCAGAAAGAAGCTGGTTTTCTTTAAAATTTGGTGTCTCCATCTGTTACTAGCTTGTTCTCAGAATGCTTAACTCAAATAATGAATTTAGATGGAGTGTGTTAATATCTCTGTACCAGGGAGCAAGGGGGTTAGCATCAATTCACAGAATATTTTGTAGTTCTCTACATGCTCATTAGGAAATTGATGTTCAAAGTTTATTGTTTAATAATATACTGCCTGCCTTGTATTGTCCTCATGCACAAAAGTCCATGATAATTCAAAAAAAAGACTACATGATTTTGTGCTTGATGAGTGATCTACAGTGATGCATTACTGACACAAAACTACTTTTAATTCAGATTCATCACTGAAGGTTATTTCATTTTGATGAATGACAACACAAATGTGCATGTATGCACCCATGAAAGAACTTATGGGGCTTTGAGTAATCAAAGACTTTTAAAATGTCAGAATCTGAAGGTCTAAATGATTTAATATATCATCTGCTGTGAGTACAAACCGGCAGACAAATATGAGCCATATATGTGTTGTTTGACTTGTATAGTGTTAATTTATTTGAATTCATAGCCTAACATTAACAATCAGGCAATTTTATTTTAAACTCAGGAATTTAAGCTTTTAAAAAAATTCAAGTATCTAGCATTAATGGGCCTGTATTTCCCAAGGCAGTAAGCTGAAATTCAAGAGCAACTGCCCATTTAGGTCAGGCTGGCACTCTCTGCCTTGCCACAGTCCTCACCTAGCCTACTTAAATTATGTAGGTTATCTGCCTGGCCCTGTAGCCATTTGAGTTTGCGTCCCTTATGGAGTCAATCTTCTTATTTTGCCCATGATGATACTGAGGGTCAAAGAGGCAAGATGACTTTCGATGACAACTCTAGAGGCAGAGATGGCACTAGGACCAAGTCACTGCTACTCAATGCTTTCTGTGAGGATAAGTTGCCTCTACTAGGGACTGCTACCATTCCCTTCCTGGAGGGATGCTGGAGCACACTGGCCTCAATAGCAAGAGTTATATGCCCATTGCTAA